TCCGGTGCGGCGGCCCGGCTGAGTGGCACAGAAGTCAGCCGAGCGCTACGGCAGGAGGCAGCAGTGCTGCCCAGAGGGAACAGCCAGGGGGCGGGGACAGGAAAGGGCTCCAGATTCAAAAGGAGGAAAGCAGAGCGGACACGGAGGAGACAGAGAGGAGGTGGAGGACAGCGAGAGAGAGAGAGAGAGAGAGAGACACAGAGTGAGAGGTGGGAGGGGAGAAGAGAAAGAGAGAGAGGAGAGAGAGGCAGGAGTGGACGAGAGCTGAGAGAGAGAGAGGGTGAGGCAGTAGAAGGAGAAGAGAGAGAGAGGCCGTTTGTGTTGCTTGCTCCTGCACAGCACAAAAGTCAGCCGAGCGCCACGGCGGGAGGTGAAGGGGCGAGGCAGTGACGTACACGCCTAGGGGGCGGGGCCTGGACGAGCGTGCAACCCCGAGGGAGACAGAGGAGAGTCGAGAGAGAGTGTGAGGCAGGAGGGGGGGAAGAGAAAGAGAGAGACCGAGGGAGAGGTAGAAGGCGGAGGAGAGCTGAGAGAGAGGGGGGGAGACAGGAGAAGGAAAGAGAGAGAGACATGGAGCGAGAGACCAGAGGCTCAGGAGAGAAGACCGAAGTGGAGGAGAGACCTGAAAATCCCATCTTATGACGGGCTAATTGGCTAGTATACCAATAAAAGTGCTCTTATATACCAATGCTAGAAATCGAAAGAGTAAAATGGGTGAATTAGACTGCCTTGTATTAAATGAAGATATAGCTATAATAGGTATTACAGAAATTTGGTGGAATGATAATGAATGGAACACAGTAATACCAGGATCCAAATATATAAGAAGGTCAAAACATGTTCTGGTGTGGGAGTAGTACTATATATGAAAGAAGTACGATATGTGAAAGAAAGTACAAAATCAAATGAAGTAAAAATCTTAAATGAACCAAACTGTACCATAAAAACCTTTATAGACAGTAATTTCAAGCTCTAAAATAGTCTTACTAACCACCTCATAAAGATGGTGATTGTGACTGTGAAATGCTCAGAGAGGTTAGAGAGGCTATTCAAATAAAAACCTCAGTAATAATGGGGGGATTCTAACTATCCCCATATTGACTGGATATGCATCACCCCAGGACAAGATGCAGAGATAAATTTTGTTGACATCTTAAATGACTGCTTCTTGGAACAGCTGGTTCTGGAACCTACAAAAGGGGAGGCAATTCTGGATTTTTGTCGTAAGTGGAGCACAGGACCTGGTCCAAGAGGTCAATATAGCTAGACTGGTTGGTAATAGTAACTGTAATATAATTAAAGGAAAAACTATGTAGCACTTTAAAGCCTAACAAGATGGTTTAATAGGTGATGAGATTTCGTGGGCCAGACCCACTTCCTCAGATCATATTCTGGAAGAGAATTGGCATGACCATATATACCAAAGGAATACAATGAAAAAAGTGAACACATTATTAAACTGACAAATCAGATGTGTTCGCTTTTTTCATTGTATTCCTTTGGTATATATGGTCATGCCAATTCTCTTCCAGAATATGATCTGAGGAAGTGGGTCTGGCCCACGAAATCTCATCACCTATTAAACCATCTTGTTAGGCTTTAAAGTGCTACATAGTTTTTCCTTTAATTATATTACAGTTACTATTACCAACCAGTCTAGCTATATTGACCTCTTGGACCAGGTCCTGTGCTCCACTTACGACAAAAATCCAGAATTGCCTCCCCTTTTGTAGGTTCCAGAACCAGCTGTTCCAAGAAGCAGTCATTTAAGATGTCAACAAAATTTATCTCTGCATCTTGTCCTGGGGTGATGCATATCCAGTCAATATGGGGATAGTTAGAATCCCCCCATTATTACTGAGGTTTTTATTTGAATAGCCTCTCTAACCTCTCTGAGCATTTCACAGTCACAATCACCATCTTTATGAGGTGGTTAGTAAGACTATTTTAGAGCTTGAAATTACTGTCTATAAAGGTTTTTATGGTACAGTTTGGTTCATTTAAGATTTTTACTTCATTTGATTTTGTACTTTCTTTCACATATCGTACTTCTTTCATATATAGTACTACTCCCACACCAGAACATGTTTTGACCTTCTTATATATTTGGATCCTGGTATTACTGTGTTCCATTCATTATCATTCCACCAAATTTCTGTAATACCTATTATAGCTATATCTTCATTATAATTAAACATCCATGTGGCAGAGAAAGTACCACAGCAGCCCAACACTGTAGCATTTAATTTCAGAAAGGCGAACTACATAAAAATGAAGTTAAACAGAAATTAAAAGGTACTGCACAGCACTGACAGTGGAAATCTCTGCAAGCTGCATGAAAACTTGTAAAGACACCATAATAGACGTTCAACTTTGATGTATGCCCCAAATTAAAAAACATAAGAGAACCACCAAAGTGCCACCATGGATAAACACAAGATAAAAGAAGCATCAAGAGACAAAAAAACATCGTTTAGAAAGTGAAAGTTAAATCGTAGTGAGAAAAAGAGAACAGAGCATAAACTCTGGCAAATTAAGAGTAAAAATATATTTAGGAAGGAAAAAAATGAAGAACAGCTAGCCAAAGACTCAGAAAGTAACAGCTATTTTTTAAAGTACATCATAAGCAGGAATCCTGCTAAATAACCAGCGGGGCCACTGGATGATCACAGAACCCTAGAAGAACAGGTTTAGAAGAGACATCAGGAGGTCATTTAGTCCACCTTCCTGCTTGAAGGAGGACCAACCCCATGATGCTAAAGGAGAGCTCAAGGACGATAAAGCCATTTCTGAGAAACTAAATGAGTTATTTGCATCAGTCTTCCTGGCTGAGGATGTGAGGGAGATTCCCACACCTCAGCCATTCTTTGTAGGTGACAAATCTGAGGAATTGTCCCAGGCTGAGGTGTCATTAGAGATGGTTGTGGAACAAATAGATAAATTAAACAATAATAAGCCACTAGAACCAGATGGTATTCACCCAAGGGTTCTGAAGGAACTCAAATGTGAAATTGCAGAACAATTACCTGTACAGGCAGTCCCCGGATTACGTACAAGATAGGGACTGTAGGTTTGTTCTTAAGTTGAATCTGTATGTAAGTCGGAACTGGCGTCCGGATTCAGCCGCTGCTGAAACTGACCGCCAGTTCTGACTTACATACAGAATCAACTTAAGAACCCCAAGCGTCCCCAAGTCAGCTGCTGCTGAAACTGATCAGCAGCTGATTCCAGGAAGCCCGGAGCAGAGCAACTCTGCCTCGGGCTTCCTGTAGTCAGC